TGACTGGTGACCACACCTTCTCTAAAGCCAGAGCTTTTAGTGGTTGGAACCATTACTGCCTGTTCACTGACTTCCTGGTTCAATGAGGCTAGGATGCATTCAACCTGGAAGTGGCAGCTATTTGGACAAATTGAATCTCTGCATAGGATAACATATGGGAGGAGGTGAGCAGTGAATCAAAAGTTACTTTAAAAAAAAAAAAAAACTTTTACAGCTGTATGGCCAATTATCTTTTCACAGCAACTACAGGGTTAAAACTGGAGAATTCTAAATCTGGTGCAGCTCTGCAAAGAAAACAATTAGCTTCCAGGGCAGGGGCGGACTGACAACTCATGGGGCCCCCGGGCAATAGGGGATCATGGGGCCCATGTTTCCTTGCCCAAACTCAAAAAAGCCTATGAAAAAGGTACCAGGGGCATCTCATGGGGCCCCCTACTGACCCAGTGCCCGAGTTTCCAAATGGTCAGGGTTCCAGGGTTTTTGTGACAAAGCTAAAAGTGGTTCTAAAGGCTGAAGGTTTTTACCTTCATGCATTCTATGCATAAAGGTAAAATACCTTCAGTATGCGGCTTCCCCCTCGCCCCACTTTACTTACCTGCACCCTTTCTCGATCCAGTGTTGTGCATGATAGCATCGGCTCTCCCAGGTCTCTCCCTCTTCATTGGCTGAGACACAGCAGCAGGAGCTGTCAATCACAGCTAGTGAGGAAGCTGGGGGCAGGGTCAAACCGCACTCTGTGGGTCTTATGGACATATAAGGTCGGCTAAAGTGCACGCACGCACAAGTTGGCAAGGGGGAGGGACTGATAGCGCTCCTGGGAGAACCGAAAAGAGGAGGATTGGGGCTGCTCTGTGCAAAACCATTGCACAGAGCAGGTAAATATGCCATGTCAGGGTTCCAGGGTTTTTTGACAAAGCTAAAAGTGGTTCTAAAGGCTGAAGGTTTTTACCTTCATGCATTCTATGCATAAAGGTAAAATACCTTCAGTATGCGGCTTCCTCCTCGCCCCCACTTTACGTACCTGCACCCTTTCTTGATCCAGTGTTGTGCATGATAGCATCGGCTCTCCCAGGTCTCTCCCTCTTCATTGGCTGAGACACAGCAATAGGAGCTGTCAATCACAGCTAGTGAGGAAGCTGGGGGCAGGGTCAAACCGCACTCTGTGTGTCTTATGGACATATAGGGTCGGCTAAAGTGCACGCACGCACGAGTTGGCAAGGGGGAGGGACTGATAGTGCTCCTGGGAGAACCGAAAAGAGGAGGATTGGGGCTGCTCTGTGCAAAACCATTGCACAGAGCAGGTAAATATGACATGTTTGTTATTTAAAAAAAAAAAAAAAATTAAGCCTTTAATATCACTTTAATTGCTCAAGTTAAATTTAAAGACTGATTGGCTACCGTGCACAGCTGCACTTTATTTTGCACGCTCCAGTTTTAGTAAATCAACCCCTAAATGTCCATATTTTTGCACAAGCCTAATCATGACTGGTTTTCTCATTGTGGCTAGCAGCACCAGATGGTGGTCATTCTGCCAAGCCTTTTTTTTTACACTGATACATTACACAAGTTTACCCAGTGGAATTACCCTTATCTAATGGCACAATATATTTTAGCGATCAGTGGAAAAAACTAATCTAACCTAATGGCACGTTGATCTACTTTGTCACTATGAATTTCCTGTTTATTTCCACTTTATACAAGTTTGACATGAAATTACAATGTAGTAGAAATAACGGTGAGTAGCAGAGAAATGGTAAAAAAAAACTTTCAAAATGGGTAACGTTAAGTCCAGTTGTATCTTCTGCTTTCACCATTAAAAACAATAGATTGTGTCAAATTTAAAAAGGCTCTGTTGCTAGACTTTATACAGCAACAAAAATCTTCTCATAAGATGATGTGTGCATTTAAATTATTTCATTCATGTTTCGAAACCTGTAAAAACCTCCTTTGTGTAGACATCTAAAAACCCTAAGACTGCAGCTGGATGCCACAAGCTTGGATGTGATGTCAACAGTGTCAGCAGACTCCAAACTGGCACTCCAGTGCCATTCTATAGCAGTGATAGGCAACCTCAGCACTATAGCTGTTGTGGAACTACAAGTCCCATGAGGCATTGAAAGACTTTGACAGCCACAATCCTGACTCCCAGAGGCAGATGATGCATGGGGATGGGGATTGTAGTTTAACCACAGCTGGAGTGCTGATGTTGCTAGCCCCTGCTGTTTTAGTATTCTTCTTCGTTCCTTCTGTGGGAGCCGCAAGTTTATATGTGGAGTGGAGAAGATGCTGGGCCAGCACAGACAGTAGACAGTGGAGTGGAGAAGATGCAGGGCCAGCACAGACAGTAATTAGGCAGTGGATTGGAGAAGATGCTGGGCCAGCACAGACAGTAATTAGGCAGTGGAGTGGAGAAGATGCTGGGCCAGCACAGACAGTAATTAGGCAGTGGAGCGGAGAAGATGCTGGGCCAGCACAGACAGTAATTAGGCAGTGGAGCGGAGAAGATGCTGGGCCAGCACAGACAGTAATTAGGCAGTGGAGCGGAGAAGATGCTGGACCAGCACAGACAGTAATTAGGCAGTGGATTGGAGAAGATGCTGGGCCAGCACAGACAGTAATTAGGCAGTGGAGTGGAGAAGATGCTGGGCCAGCACAGACAGTAGACAGTGGAGTGGAGAAGATGCAGGGCCATAGGGCCACAGGGCCAACACAGACAGTAATTAGGCAGTGGATTGGAGAAGATGCTGGGCCAGCACAGACAGTAATTAGGCAGTGGAGCGGAGAAGATACTGGGCCAGCACAGACAGTAATTAGGCAGTGGAGCGGAGAAGATGCTGGGCCAGCACAGACAGTAATTAGGCACTTCCTGAGGAAGAAAGACTATAATTTGCAAGAAGGGATGGAGCTGTGCTAGGCAGTGACATACCAAAGGGGTCTGTCAGCATTGGTTACTGCCAATTGGGGGGTGTTGCGGCAACTTCCACTAAACACATACACCATCAGGCCTGGATAGATTTATACACTGCAGGTTGCACATTGGGTTGATTGATATACAGAGAAATTCTCTCTGACGGTCAGTGTCTTTCTCTATTCTGTACAGGTAGGTGGGGGATATGTAGCCCAATGCTGGTATTAAAATTCTGTCCCTAACACAATCTGCAGGAGACCTGGGAGATGGAAGGAAGCTACTTGGGACCTGTGCTACTCAGGTAGGTGTACACGTATGCTCCCACTGACACCAATTAAAGGGGGGGTAGCAATAATCATTGACTACCAACGTAATATGAGGCACTCACTGACCAAAACAAAGGAAGCACAGACACACTGAAATAAAATGGGCAGACATTCACCACCATAAGGGAAGCATAGCCTGACCATAATAAAGAGGGCACATACTGGCCACCATAAAGGGGGGGGGAAGCTGACCACCATAAAGGAGGCACATTGACCACCATATAGTGGGAATCCACAGACCACCATGAGTGGGTGACCTGACCACAGGGTGCAAGGGGTCACACTGACATAGTCCTGACCGTTGCACTCTATAGCCTACAAAGTCCTGACTGCATTATTGTATAATGCTAGAATTTAGGCCCCTGTCTTCATTAAAGCACACCACTATTATCCCTATGTTGCGTCGCTAATTCTTTTTTTTTTTAGCAGCCTGTTATTATCTGCATGTCTGTTGCAGTGTAATAATGTTCTCTTTTTCCTTTTCTGGCCATTATTAATATTTTTAAAATAATTTTATGATTATTACTGAAAATCATTTTGATGCATAGAGAGGTGTGGGTGTTTGTATGGAAGTTGGGGGATGTTAAAACATTATATGACCCTAGATGCTCCTCTGGTGTTAGGAAATTGACTCTTCCTGGAGTAGTCCAAATTTTTAGCAAATTCAAAAGCACATTGAAAGTCAAATAAAAATGATATGTGGAAAAAAAAAACAAGTAAGCATTAAAAATAATTGGATTCTCATGTGTTCATAACTGCATTTTTTAAACTGACGACAGTCTCTCTTTAAAATAATTAAAGGTTCGCTTTTATGGAAAAATATTACACGCACATATTGTTGCATTAAAAAATGTGCATTTATTATTTTTCCCCAGGAGCCTGCAAAGCATTGCACCTGTTATCAGTGGGCTGTGGATGCAATGTCAGGCTCCTGTAGACACATCCTCCAGCTTTCTTGCTCGTACCTCTATACAAGCTTTCTGCTAAAAAGGTGGAGGAAGTGTCAATGGACTTTGAGGGTGCTCGTCAGCATCCTCACAGTCCATTGAGAACTACAAGTGTGTCTGTCATGGTGGCCAATGGAACTTGTAGTGCATTCATTCAGAGATCTCTGTGAGTAAATGAATGATGGGGCTGTGCAGACATAGCCCCTCACATCCACTTCGATTTTGAATGTGTGTCAGCAGCTGCAGCTGTCACGGGGAACTGTGGGTGAATAATGGGGTGAGGTGATGGAACATGTTACACCGTAAATACAGGTGCAACAGGTTCCAAACCTGAAAACGTTACTTGCAGCAACATTATAAATATAAATAAAGTTATTAGACTTTGTTATTAGAGTCTGTTGAAATACCGATTTCACTTTTTTCTAATAAAGCCCAACTTACTATATACTTCAGTATACTTCTGGCATAAGGTGAACTCTAGGAAAATTGTATTTTTAATACCTGCCCGGAGTTCAGCTTTAAATGCTCATTTGATTCATACTTTTGATCATTCAGTACCTGCCTCCCCACGCGGTTGTTATGTATCCTCATTCTTGCTTGAATGTCCCTTGGTGACTCTCTGGAGTCCAGAAAATCTTTTGAGAATTTCTCTCCAAATTCCAGTTCATGCTTGCAGCCACCCCATTCCCATGTGTCCTGAGGACTGGGCTCTGGGGTCTCCCGTAGCAGTGGAGTCAAGTCTCTTGGGAGGCCCTTCACTTTAGACAAAGCTTGGAGCTGCAACTGGTTTAGTTTCAGACGAATTTTCTCTTCAGTTCCCCGGCGTTTCCACTCACATCCACATCCTTGCAGCTTTCCTAGACTACAAGCTGTAGCCACTGAATGCATGACACCTGCAGCCAGCAATGAAAAGGCAAAGGCACTCTCACGAAAACCTGTTGGAGATAGAAAAAAAAACAAGATTTAAAATCAAATTCAATAAAAGAACTGCTTTCTTGGTAAATTGGCTGCCCTTTTAATTTAATTTAGTAAAATAGCAGAACAGAATAAATGGATGGATTTGTCTATACTAGGCCCATGCAATACTCTTTATCTAGGCTTATCCATCATGCTAGTTTCTCCACTTGTCCACCTTCAGGCACACCATACCTCAGACAAAGCAAGAGTTATTTCACACTATTTTATTCAGCACGTTATTAACAAAGACATTCTGCAATTTAAAGTATGTGTAAAGTTAAAATGTATATTTTGTTTTGGATAGAGATGGGAAGAATTAGAGTATCTGTCAGGTTTTATTTGCTGTCTTTGTCGCCAACAAGGGAAATTCACCCTCACTATTTGTTCTGGTGTTCATTGTACCCAGTACAGAAAAGGATGGGATATCCAAAATTTTGAATTGTCACAGAAACAGGAAATGAGGGGAAATTTTCCATTTTGGAAAACTGGTAACAATTGTCAAAGTGGGAATATTTCCCTGCTTTGGAAAAATTTCCTTTAACTTCCTGCTGTGTTTCTGGGAAAGGACATGTAGGCAAATATCTTCATGTTCTGTTTAATTTTTTGTCTTTCTCTATAGATTGTTTGCAGTATCTTAATACTGGATTTGCAGGATCTCGTGTGTATTTAGTTTCTGTTTACTAAGTGCAAGGAGGAACACTGTAAATGTGGTTTAAAGACAGATCTGAAGGCACTCTAGGAACAGATTAACAACTGCTCTTAAAATAACGATTTCAACAACTATAGTACATACCATGTAGTTGATAGGTCTAAGTATTTACACTGTGCTACATGATGTAAGAGGCACTGTTCTGTAGTGTAGAAATAAATGTTGCAAATTGTAGAGCAGTGTTTATCAACCTTTTTTCAGTCAAGGCACCCTTTAAAATTATAGACAGTCCCGAGGCACCCTTTAGAATTATGGACATTCTTGATGCACCCCATTCCATTAGGAAAGTTTGCAGTGGGCACACAATGGCTTGCAGGGGTGGAGGTAAAATTAGCAGGGAAACACCCTAAACACTGTTATTATCTTGGGTTCTCCTGCACAGTTATATAATTTCGTAGAGCACATATATGGCATACTAGAAAGGGTTAAAGGGATTAGTTCTGCCTGTTTTACTAAAAGAACACATGCTCCCAAGTCTGTCATCCTGGGAGCCAGAAGTCGACAGCTTATAAAGTTACTACTTGTACTGGGGAATTTCCCAGGAGAAACAGCTGTAATAGTAAGCTTCAATATTGTTTTATATGCTTTACCTTCCTAGCTCTGTCCTCATTGGCCTGAGTTCAGTATGCTTTCAGGCTGCTTATGATGATGGAAAAGTGTGGCACTACTCCAAAGGTAAAAGGATAAAGTTACCTTTAATGTGAGGAAGTTTGTTCACGCGTTTAGAGCCACTGTGCTTTCTGATTACATTTTTGTTTCATTTAAAGTGTACTCAAGCACAAAAATGTAATATATTGAAACTAACCAATCCTTAGATGGTTAGCTTTCTTTTTTTGGGCATTTTTCAATAATGACTTAGTAACACATTTACTGTCTTAAGGCCACACTCACTCCTCCATTGTATCTCTAGAGGAGCAATGTAGCAACCTAAACCTAGGCATTGTCAGCCTATGGAGAGGGTAGTGTAAGACAGACTAGTGGATTTAGATGAGTTTTCGAGGACTAACAAATTAAAGCTTATTCCAGCTAACACATTTTAAGCAGTTTTTTTTCCTTTTGGGTTAAAGGTTTTTCATAAATGAATAAATGCTGTCCACTTTAAGTACCCCTATCAGTGTTAAATGGTCTGTCTTAAGTTTCTAACTGCTAGGCAACGTAGTCTGTTAAAATAAGTTGAAAAGCCCTAAATGGTACCACGCTGACATCATTGGTCGAATGTTTACAGGACCACTTTCCCTTTGCATTAAGCTCCTCCTCCATTTCGTACTTGGGCGTTCACCTGACCTCCAGCATTGACCAATTATACAAGAGTAACTACCCCCCACTTTACAAAGAATTAGAAGACATAGCACAATGGGGAAAATGTGATCTGTCCTGGCTTGGTCGAATTAATGCCATAAATATTACTCTTTTGCCGTGTGAATTATACCTGTTTCGAATTTTGCCAATTCCAATTGTGAAATCCCACCTACAAGGTTTTCAGTCTAAAATTATTCGATTTATCTTGGGCAACAAGGGACATTGTTTTTTCTAAACAAATACTATTTCGGCTTCCTCGTCAAGGGGGGCTCGCTCTCTCAAACATATTGTGGTACTATCAAGCGGCACAACTAGCACAGATTTTGATTGTTTATGTGCTACCAGGCTTTTTTTAACCAGGCTGGGTTTAAATGGAGCAACAATCTGTTCCCCGACATACTATAGATTTTTTGCTTTAGAGCGTGCCCAAACGACCGCCACTGGTCTTTGCCGCGATTCTTTCTCGTTTGATAGCTTTATGTGATATTCTACATAGACAAACATCATTGACCACAGCTCTTCATCCCTTGGCGCATCTATTTCATAATCCCCAGTTTCCCTCGGGTCTGGACATTAAAGCTTTCCAATGGTGGTAAAACAAAGAACTATTTAGGATTGGCCATTTCTTCACTTAAACTGGGCTTCCCACCTTAGCCTTTTGTGTAAGTAAGCTTAGAGATGCCTCAATTGGAGAGGTTCAGATTTCCCCAAATTTCTCTCTTTCTACATTCCTTATGGACTAATAAACTGGACCCCCCCCCAGGGACCACGGCCTATGGGAACAGGACCTAGCAGAGGAATTACATCTAGAAGTTTTGCATCAATGTTTTTTTTTTCTTCAAAGGAGTTTTGAACATCTCTCTAATTGAGGTTAACATCAACATTTTCACAAGCTGGCGTGGAGTTCCCATGCATTTAGTGAATTTATTTCTAGATTCTTCCCCCCTTTATTTCCTTGGATGTGGCCATTTAGGTACTATATTCCACACATGGTGGATTTGTCCTCGAATTTGAGGATTTTTGAACTGAATCTTTTATTTGCTGCACAGAGTCACAGGGAAAACGATCCCTAAATCTCCACAGATAGTGTTATTGAACCATCGGGTGGATAATGTCCCTAAATGCACCCATTCGTTTGACTTTTTTCCATTCTTGGGTGCCAAGATCAAGGTAGCCCATGCAGAGAAACAAACCTCTTTTGCAGCAGCAAAGAGAAATATATCCTGCATAATGCTCCAAGAACAAGTAGCGAGTATCCTACTGGACAAACTCCAGAAATTTGAAAGCATTTGAGAACCTTCTTGATGACTTAAACTTACCTGTCTTTAACTGCCTGCTGCCTTTTTCTGCCACTTCTCTCCTTCTCCCCCCCCCCCCTTTTTTTTCTTTTTCTCTTCTTCTTTCTCTTGTCTTGGTCCTACCCTCAACCCACCTCATCCTGATGATCCCACCAAGATAATCCCTGCTCCTTTAGGATTGGGTTATGCCTTGGGACACCAGTGAATCTGGGTTAGTTTACCATTTGAATGTTTGGTTAGGATCAATGTACCCCCTGGACTTGCACTGCCAATTAGCTTTCACTTTCATTATTAGTCTAGGGGTGTGGTTCCCTCACCCTAGGAAGTTCATATTTCTTTGAACCCCATCAGAGCTCTGTTGAATATTCACTGCTTTCTCCTATTCCCAGTAGCTGAACATGACATATTAGTTTGCTCTGGTTGAGGATCAGTGCTACTCCCACTACTATGGTTTGACGTTGTTAAAGGCATGATCTTATAGAGGTGCCAGTTGAGGACTGATACGCAAGATGTGTAAAGCCTTGTATTATCTTGTTCTTGTTCTTAAACCTTCAGGTTTTTCTTTATGTTAAGATATGTGTTTGTGTAGGGTCTGCATAAAATCTACTAGTTTGGGTTCTTGCCTGTGATTGAGGCCTCAGGGTCATTGATGTACTGTATACTGGAAAGTACCACTTGCTGTTGTCCTCTCTCTGCAGTTTTCTTTTTGTCTTATGTTATGGCTGCAGAACTGATCTATGTATTCTGACAGGGGAGGGAATCCTGCTGTCAGAATACAGTAGCAGAGCAGAGAAGATCTCTGCATCTACATTGCTTGTGTGGATGCAGGGATCCATAAGTTTTTATTCATTCAGCCCTTTGGTTGAATGGAAAAAAAAACTTTACATGTATACCCTTCGTAAGACTACCTTGTCCACAGAGTGACACTGCTGTGCAATTCACCATAGAACAAACAGCATTGGCACTCTGTTACTGGCAGTGGAAAAATAATAAGTCAACTGGCAGGATCAATAGGTAATAATACTATGTTACAGGGTGTGTTCAGGAAAACAAAAACTTCTCTGTTAATGCTAGTGAAGGACTATATTATATATTTCATATATGATGCTGTCTTTCACTAGCATAAAATAGTTGGTCAGAATTCAACCCAGCATCATAGTGCTGAAAGATCACATTGTTAACTGCTAAAGCGTCATACGTTGCTCGTTGTAATTATGAAATGTGTTGAAGCCCAATACATTCAGACAGTTTGGATTGGTTACCCCGACTGTACCTCTCTTTAGGATGACACTGTCATGTGGAACCTTCCCACTCGTCTCCAAAGTGGAGCAGTTCCAACGCTGGCCTTTCAGTTGATGTTGACATTCATGGATGGCAATTTGAATTCCCTGGAGGGCTGAAGCTGTCACATCAGGGTTCCTCACACAGAGTCCCATCTGGCGCTTACTTAAGCCAGGTAATGTCAGGCAGACGGTGTTGGGAGTCAGGATGGGGTCATTGGGTAGCTTCAGTCCCAAGATATCGTTGCACAGAACTCTAGAGAGGAAAAAAAAGAGGAATGACTACAGAAATCATATAAGAATACAAATATGTCAGCAAGATGTGTCTCAACTCTGATGACCAGTAGGTACACTGTTTTTCTGGATTGTTGGCCTTATATAACCTTGTTGAAATAAATACGGTTATTTAAAACGATGACTTTAGATGGATGTGATTATATTAATAATGGAATATTAAAGTGGTTAGACAATATTTTTTTTAATTTACTTTTAACTGTATATTATTTATAAGGCCTCATTCACATGGGTGTATCTATGCGTACACCTGTGTGAAGGCCCGTTCCCCCCCCACACACACAGTATGCACAGATGTTCTGTGCATCCATGTGCAGGCAGTCCCAATTATGTCTATTTGGAAGCAACAGTTGCATGGACACAGCTGCTGATTCCAGTTTGACAGCCTTCCAGGTGCAGGTGCATGTTCCTAAATGTGCACTTTCTGCATTCAGGTACATGCACCCGCACCTGCACAGTTGTCAAGTTGGGACCAGCGGCTTTGTCTATGCAGCTGCTGTATCCCAATAGACATGAACTGGACTGCCTGCACAGAAATACATGAAACACTTGTACATCCCGTGCAAAGATATGACTGTGTGAATGAGGCCTAAATACAAATATAAACAACACAACAGTACACTACTCATTGGGCAGCACAGTGGCTAAATGGTTAGTACTTCTGCCTGGCAGTACTAGGGTTGTTGGTTTGAATCCCAACCACGGCACCACCTGCTAGGAGTTTGCATGTTCTCCCTGTACCTGTGTGGGATTCCTCCAGGTACTCCGGTTTCCAAAGACATGCTGGTAGGTTAATTGGATCCTGCCTAAAATGCCCCTAGTATGTGTATGTATGAATGTAAGTTAGGGACTTTAGATTGTACGCCCCTTGAGGGTTAGGGTCTGATGTGAATGTACACTATACAGGTGAAACTCGAAAAATTAGAATATCGTGCAAAAGTTCATTTATTTCAGTAATGCAACTTAAAAGGTGAAACTAATATATGAGATAGACTCATTACATGCAAAGCAAGATAGTTCAAGCCGTGATTTGTCATCATTATGGCTTACAGCTCATGAAAACCCCAAATCCACAATCTCAGAAAATTAGAATATTGTGAAAAGGTGCAATATTCTAGGCTCAAAGTGTCCCACTCTAATCAGCTAATTAAGCCATAACACCTGCAAAGGGTTCCTGAGCCTTTAAATGGTCTCTCAGTCTGATTCAGTAGGAATCACAATCATGGGAAAGACTGCTGACCTGACAGTTGTGCAGAAAATAATCATTGACACCCTCCATAAGGAGGGAAAGCCTCAAAAGATAATTGCAAAAGAAGTTGGATGTTCCCAAAGTGCTGTATCAAAGCACATTAATAGAAAGTTATGTGGAAGGGAAAAGTGTGGAAGAAAAAGGTGCACAAGCAGCAGGGATGACCGCAGCCTGGAGAGGATTGTAAGGAAAAGGCCATTCAAAAGTGTTGGGGACTTTCACAAGCAGTGGACTGAGGCTGGAGACAGTGCATCAAGAGCCACCACACACAGACGGATCTTGGATATGGTCTTCAAATGTCGTATTCCTCTTGTCAAGCTGCTCCTGAACAACAAACAACGTCAGAAGCGTCTTACCTGGGCTAAAGAAAAACAGACCTGGTCTATTGCTTAGTGGTCCAAAATCCTCTTTTCTGATGAGAGCAACTTTTGCAGAAGCATGGAGAGGCACACACTGCAAGATGCTTGAAGTCCAGTGTGAAGTTTCCACAGTCTGTGTTGATTTGGGGAGCCATGTCATCTGCTGGTGTTGGTCCACTGTGCTTCATTAAGTCCAGGGTCAACACAGCCATCTACCAGGAGATTTTGAAGCACTTCATGTTTCCTTCCGCAGATGAGCTTTATGGAGATGCTGACTTCATTTTCCAGCAGGACTTGGCACCTGCCCACACTGCCAAAAGCACCAAAACCTGGTTCAATGACCGTGGGATTACTGTGCTTGATTGGCCAGCAAACTCGCCTGACCTGAACCCCATAGAGAATCTATGGGCATTGCCAAGAGAAAGATGAGAGACATGAGACCGAACAATGCAGAAGAGCTGAAGGCCGCTATTGAAGCATCCTGGTCTTCCACAACACCTCAGCAGTGCCACAGGCTGATAGCTTCCATGCCATGCCGCATTGAGGCAGTAATTGCTGCAAAAGGGTCCCAAACCAAGTACTGAGTACATATTGTAAAATAAAAAATATATGAGCGCTGGGTGACAACAGGTAAAATACAGGTGGGAGCAGCCAGCATGGAAGAGGAAACAACCTCAGATCCTCCAAGTGATGCCAAAGATAAAAGTACAGATGCGGCGCTCAGTATTAGTTGCAGTGTGCAAATGATATCTCACAGTGTTAAAACTTAAATAGGTATAATACATGCGGATAAATGTGACTGTTGTGACACAGTAAGCAATGATGAACTTTCGTGACTGTTGTGACTGTGGTATTGAATAATATAAATAATACCAAAACTTATTGAATATAGTTCATGCGGAATGAGATGACTGTAAAAACAGTAATATTCATAACTTCTATGGCTAGAAGCAACGGGCATACTATGCACCGATAGGATAGTATCCCATGATGTCATAGACTGATAAGATATAGTTCATGAAGATTTATGTGACTGCGGTGACACAAAACAGCGGATAATTTTGGTGACTGCTGTGGCTGGAAACAATGAGCAAACTATGCACTAACCAGATGGCACAGATAAATGTGCGTTGGAGTATATAAGACCTACTCCTAGGTACTCTGGGGGTGGGAACTCAGCATGCGGATGTGATCATCAGGTGGAGGTACTTCACCAGCTGTCATCTATCCAGAGCAGGATTCCACGTCTCAACCGTGTCCAGCAGTGCCTTTTATATCCATCAGGGGGATCATACACGCATATGGAAACCAGGAAAAGGATCCTTCAAGATGAGGACTCTCGTGCCAAATAAAAGAGCCCAGAGAGGGAAAAAGAACTCCAATAGTGTAGTATGTTTTAATGATAGAGTAACATCAAAGTACAGGTAAAAAACTGAGCCAGCACTTACATCTGAGGTAGTAGGTAGGTGAAGTAGTTAGATAGAGTTTGTTTTAATGATAGAGTTACTCTATCATTAAAACATACTACACTATTGGAGTTCTTTTCTCTCTGGGCTCTTTTATTTGGCACCGAGAGTCCTCATCTTGAAGGATCCTTTTCCTGGTTTCCATCTGCGTGTATGATCCCCCTGATGGATATAAAAGGCACTGCTGGACACGGTTGAGACGTGGAATCCTGCTCTGGATAGATGACAGCTGGTGAAGTACCTCCACCTGATGATCACATCCGCATGCTGAGTTCCCACCCCCAGAGTACCTAGGAGTAGGTCTTATATACTCCAACGCACATTTATCTGTGCCATCTGGTTAGTGCATAGTTTGCTCATTGTTTCCAGCCACAGCAGTCACCAAAATTATCCGCTGTTTTGTGTCACCGCAGTCACATAAATCTTCATGAACTATATCTTATCAGTCTATGACATCATGGGATACTATCCTATCGGTGCATAGTATGCCCGTTGCTTCTAGCCATAGAAGTTATGAATATTACTGTTTTTACAGTCATCTCATTCCGCATGAACTATATTCAATAAGTTTTGGTATTATTTATATTATTCAATACCACAGTCACAACAGTCACGAAAGTTCATCATTGCTTACTGTGTCACAACAGTCACATTTATCCGCATGTATTATACCTATTTAAGTTTTAACACTGTGAGATATCATTTGCACACTGCAACTAATACTGAGCGCCGCATCTGTACTTTTTTCTTTGGCATCACTGAGTACATATGCATGCTTATACTTTTCAGAGGTCCGATATTGTTCTATGTACAATCCTTGTTTTATCAATTGCATGTAATATTCTAATTTTCTGAGATTGTGGATTTGGGGTTTTCATGAGCTGTAAGCCATAATCATCACAATTATGACAAATCACGGCTTGAACTATCTTGCTTTGCATGTAATGAGTCTATCTCATATATTAATTTCACCTTTAAAGTTGCATTACTGAAATAAATGAACTTTTGCACGATATTCTAATTTTTCGAGTTTCATCTGTATATATGTAAAGCGCTGTGTAAATTGATGGCACTATATAAGTACTTGTAATAATAATTTGTTTGCACTTTCATTTAGGCCTTGTTCACACCATGGTGTGTGAACAAGGCCTAAATGCAAGAGATGCAAGTTTTTCTGCATGCGTTCTGCAAGGGCACAAAGAAAACAATTGTTCTATATGTGCCCTGTTTACACCACACTATTATTAGATGCAGATTTTTTCTGAGCAGGATTCTGCAATGTGTATAAAACTCACTGAAACGCACGTGAAAACCGATGTAAACTCGTGTGTCTGCAAGTGAAATCTACGCATTTTTTCCATTAGTTTTTCTGCATGTATGGTGAACGAGGCCTAAAACAAACATATCCTGCCAACAATTGGTAGCATTACAAAGTATTTTATTTTAAACACATTGCAATAACAGTATAACAATTAATTAGCTCTGAAATGATGCTATCCATGGAGAATCTGCTCCATTTTTTTAATCAAAATTATCCAGACACTCACATACTAAGCACACTAAATTACAGAATGGGAAGACATCATGATGGTTTTCCATAGCACATGAAGAAACCTGCCATGAGATAAATCATGGGACTACCATTGCTGACTTCTTTAACCACTGACCTGGAACACGTATACAGATTGGGAAAGTTGGAAAAAAAACACAAGTCCTTATCTGCCTACTTTATCTGGGTCAGTGGTCTTCACGGTTTAAATAAATGTTTTGGCTCCATCCAAAACATTTCATTTTGGTTTTAGAGTGCCTGTCAGGTTTTGATCACCCTTTTCGTTCTTGATGGGCAGGAACCATATGTGGCCAATGCTCCCGGAAGATGGAAATCACT